CCCATCAATCAATCCAGATCTATCCACCCATCTATTCATCAATCTATCCCTCCATTCATCCATCTCATTAAAAAAAATATATATTTCTATTGATTTCAGAGAGGAAGGGAGAGGGAGAGATAGACACATCAATGATGGAGAGAGAGAATGATTAATCGGTTGCCTCCTGCATGCCCCTCCACGCCCCCCACTGGGGATCAAGCCTGCAACCGGGCATGTGCCCTGACCGGGAATTGAATCTTGTCATCCTGGTTCATAGGTTGAGGCTCAACCACTGAGCCACGCCGGCCTCCATCTTGTTTTTTGATACATTTTTTAGGCTTATGAATGTAAGGCCTGGGTCAAATGACACTCTCTTCTCTCAACCTTCTCCCCTACAGTAACAAGACCTCTCCCCGCCCACATACACACGTACATGCAAAAACCCACATGCACACACAATGACCCACCCATTTACACATGTCCACTCCACATACATATCCACATATGCAAACACCACACCTAATCACTCTGCACACATGTGTAGAGTTACACACACACACACACACACACAGTGCACACATGTGCATTCACAGCAGACCCTTGATGCCTGTGAGGAAAGCACCCAAAGTCCTCATAGAATCCTCAGACCTGTGACCCCATGGAGCCCGTGCCAGGCCCTGACTTACTCTGCGCCCCCCATTTCTGGCCAAGCGTCAGGGGCTCCCCTGCAACTCCCTACCCCACCTGTCCCACCTTTAAAAAAAAAAGAGTCTCCTCACCTCCCGGCACTTCCCACCAAGAAAACCCCCACAGAGATTCCGTGCAGAGTGTCAACCGCGTGTGGGCACAAAGCCACCAAACTGCTGCTCCAAGAGGCACACACTGCGTTGGCCTCGTTCTCACCACACCCCCCGCACCTGGCTCACAGGGGCCTCGCTGAGTGTTGATTGTAACAGGAACAAAGCAGCACAACAGTGCATGTACCAGGCATCCTCAGGACACCTGTCACACATGCTTACATCCATGCGCACACACACTGTGCGTGCACCCATGTGCCCGCAGGCATCAGCTGTGTGTTCGCACACTGTTTGCACACACCTGTCTGCCTGTCTCCTTCTCTGGAGATGAAGTGAATTCCAGGACCCAGGTCCTTTCCCAAAGCCTTGGCCACCTAAGACCACGGGGAGCTCCTCTGCTGCAGTGTGAGGTCCCGGGGTGGCCCCATGACCATGTGCCCAGGGCTCCAGGCGAGCCTGGGCAGCAGGGGTTCAGAGCACCAGAGTCTGACAGCACCTGCGTCCATCCCCGCTCTGCACGCAGCCACTGTGCACCCTCTACAGGTGATGTATGTGTGAGTTACTCCACTGCATGGAGCCTCAGTTCTCTTCCCCGTTCCATGGGGAGAATAGTTCCCACCTTAGAAGCACTTACAGGAGAGGCTTTCAGCAGGATGCCTGCAGGCTGTGAGCACTTAACAACGGTTGCTGTGGGTATTCTTTGCCCCAAACTCCCATGCACCCTTTGGGAGGGCGGGCAGCCTTGGTGGGGACAGTGTATGGGGAGAGCCAGTGGGAGTGGATGGTGCTCTGGGGACGCCTCTCCCAGGTGCTCCCCCAATCCCAAGCCCTCATTATCCCACATGCATATTCATAAGGGATAGTCTCAGCCCTGCTCTGTAAATGCCTCAGAAGCGGGAAGTGGAGGCCAGTGCAGAGAGTGAGGCCCCGGGGACAGGAGGCTCGAAGCCAGAGTGCATCTGAGTCTCCATGGACGGGAGGATGGTGAGAAGGGATGGGGCACTATGAGTTATTGGGGGTCACTTGGGGACTTGAGCAAGGGCTTGTGCCTATATTGCAGATTTGGAAACTGAGGCTCAACGAGAGCAGCTTGGAGCGACTGGCTGGAGAAGCCAGAGCTGCTTCCGTTGGGTGCTGGAGAGCTGAGCGTCTGTCCGGGCTGGGTGACAGGCACAGGGGATGGACTGAGGGACCGCTGCCTGTTTCTCGCGTGGACACCGTCAGCATGGCAGTGCGCGGTTGCTGTGGTGGTCCCGAGTCTCAGCCTCCGTGAGGCTCAGAGAGGTTGGGTGGCTTCCCAGGAACACACAGCACTGACCGTGCTCTTGCGTTTGGCGGCGTGAGATAGTGATTCTGGCCTCATGCAGGAGGGTCATGGCTGGGAGCCAGGCTGGTCAGGACGTAGAGAAACGAAGCTTCTTTCTCTGCCTCCCCGTTTCATCTCCTTGAAAGTCCCTTACAGATACCGGCAGCCACAGCGATTGTCTCCCTTTCACAGATGAGAAGCATGAGGCTGCCCGAGGATGAGGCACCAGGACAAGACTACACAGTGAGTATCTGCAGGGAGGGCTGGCCCCTCCACACAGGGTGATGCAGGGTGAGGGGACGGGAGAGCCCACGTCACCTCGGTCTGAGCAGGGTGACCCGGCACCGTGGCAGCCCATCACCCTGTTGTTGTTGTTGTTCTTCTTCTTCTTTAAATTATGTTTGTTTAATTAATTAATTAATTAATTTATTTTTAAATATATTTTATTGATTTTTACAGAGAGGAAGGCAGAGGGATAGAGAGTTAGAAACATTGATGAGAGAGAAACACCGAGCAGCTGCCTCCTGCACACCCCCTACTGGGGATGTGCCCGCAACCAAGGTACATGCCCTTGACCGGAATCGAACCTGGGACCTTTCAGTCCGCAGGCGGACACTCTATTCACTGAGCCAAACCGGTTTCGGTGGAGCTTTCTTCTTTACACTTGCAGTCCAGCTACTCCCTCACTCCTCTCAGATACCTGTCCATCTCTCTGAATGCTTTCTCAATGCTCACAGCGGCTCTGTGAGGTTAAGCAGAATAACCAGCCCCCTTTCAGGGGCGGGATGGAGGGATAGAGAGGTGCAGGGGCCCCTCAGAGTGTGTGAGAGGCTGTGAGGGGCAAGAGTCTCTGGCATTGCTCTGCTGGACCAGCTCATGGGAGGAGGTGGGGGCTGAGGCATGGAAATTTGGCCCTCGGGGCACAAGTGTCAAAAAGAGCTGACTCGGTGCAAGGCCGTGGTATCCCGGGGGCCGAAGGCTGCTGGGTGGAAGGGGACCGTGTACAGGCTGTTTTGGGGTCAGTGAGTCACAGAGGAACGAGGAAACCGGGCTTGCGTTAAATGTTCAGACAGCCATTCATTCATCCAGAGGCATTTACTGCCGTCCTGTCAGAGGTGAATCAGACAGGCCCCGGGCAGCTCAGCGTCTCCTAAGGACCCCGGACTAGAGCCGGATGGAACGTATGATTGGACCAAAAAAACCAAAAAGGTGGACTGGGTATTGCCACCCCCACTTTCCAAGCCAGGCAGCGAGGTGTCAGGGCCAGGCCCTGGGTTTGAGGTCAAGGCCAGGCCGGGTGGTCTTCCAGCTCTGCCCTCCGAGCGGTGTGACCTGGAGCCACAGTAACAACCACCCCGTGTCCCAGGCCATGTTTGCCTAGTGCTCAGACTGCATGGAGACTGAGCCGCTGGCCTTCTCTGAGGCTCAGTGTCCTCCTCTGTAAATGGGGGTGAGGTGAGGGATGAATCTGCTTCCAGGGTTATCTGGGGCTTCAATGGAACCACGTAGGCCAAAGAGCTTCCAGCTCTGTGGTAACTCGTGTTATGGTGAGGCCAGCACGGAGGCTCCCGTTGTAGAAACTCAGGGACGTTGGATCATTCATTCCTCACAGGACGGGTGTGTGTGTGTGTGTGTGTGTGTGTGTGTGTGTGTGTGTGTGTTCTCTTCACAGGGAAGATAAGGATGTGAAAGAGGCTTCGGAGGGCAGGTATTGGGGTCAGGAGGGAGAGAACATTCACAGAGAAGGACATGGAGGAGGGAAAGTGCAGGGAATGTTGGTGGGGCCCTGGCACCGTGAATCACCCAGGGATGCAGTCAGGCGGGATCGCTAGCCCTGGGGCCATCTGTGCAGGGTCTAGATTGCCTTTTCTAACAGGATCCTGTCTAGGGCTCAGTGAGGAGAGGTGAATTCAGAGCCTGTTTCTGCGTCCCTTCCACCTACCCCTTTGGGACTGGACCATCTGCCAGGAATGTGACCCCCTCCCCCCTCTGACCTCCTTAGCTGGGGGCCAGGGTCTGGGCACCTTTTGGAGGGCTGAGCTGCTCAACAGGTGGCTCTGGGGGCATGCTGGCGGGTGGCGACAAGGACTCAGTAGAGACTGAGGGCCAGGTGCGAGGGTGAAGGCAGCTGACAGGGTGCACGCCCAGGATCTTAGATGAACCAGGGAGCTCCCATCTGCCAAGCATCTAACAGCTGAGGTAGGCACCCTAACGTCACAGATGGAAGAAGTGAGGCTCGGACAGGTGACGTGACTTGGCTGTTTCTCTCCAGTGTTTCCCAAACTTCTCTCATGATGAGAATCACCGGGTGGAGTTGTTAAACTACAGATTTCCTGAGTCCCAACTAAGAAGTGCTATCAGGAATCTGTAGTTTAACAACTCCACCAGGTGATTCTCATCATGAGAGAAGTTTGGGAAACACTGCATCCGATCACTCGTCCTCCCACACCTACGTGTTGGGCTGAGAGGTTCTGCGAATCAGGGGGGACCCCCTCTTGGCCTCTGACCCCTGCAGGAGGCCAGGCCAGCGCCTTCTCCAAGGCGCTCTGCAGGAGGCCAGGGCTCGAGGATTCGAACCCAGGCCTCGGTATCTCCAAACTCGCACTTGGGACCAGGACACGAGCGGAGTCGGGTCGGTGGCCCGGACCGCGCTGCCGCGGGAGGCACCGCCCCACCGCCTTCCCCCGGGTTCCGCCGGGCGCACCTGCCCAGGTGAGTCCCTCCCCGGAGGGAGGCGGGCGCGCACCGGAGCGCCTTCCCGGCCGCCCTGCCAGGTGGGGCGGGGCGGGCCGGGGCGGGGCCATCGGGCCCGGGGCGGGGCCAGACCGGGCACCCGGAGGCCGACCGGATCCGCGGCCCGCGCCCCTCCAGCCCCTCCGCACCCTCGGGCCCCGCGCCCCGCCGCCGCCGCCGCCATGGGCGCCTGCCTGGGCGCCTGCTCGCTGCTCAGCTGCGTGAGTCCCCCCGGCGCCCGCCGCGCGCCCGCCACTTTGTGCTGTTTTCTTCCCGCAGTTTCTTCCTCTCCTTCCTCCGAACTTGTCTCTCTGGGTCCGCACCCGCCTCTGCGCCCGGGCCCCTCTGGCCCTCGGTTTCCCTCCCCGCTCCCGCCCCTGCCCTGGCCCCGGGCGACCGGGACAGCTGCGCCCGGGCCTCGGGTTACCGCGGGGGAGGGGAGGGTGGGGCGCCGGGCGGGGGAGGGCGCGCCCTCCGCGGCGCCTCCTGGGACCGGGGGGACTGAGGCTGGGGCTGGGAGACTGAGGCTCGGGGCCTGGGTGGGGCTGGGGGTGGGGGTGGCGGCCCCTCCGCGCCGGACTTGGACTTGGGGACGTCCTCCAGGCGCGTGTTTGGGGGTCTGCCTCCCGGACGCTCGGACTCTTTGTGCGCCCTGCCCGGCCCCTGGCCCCCTCTGCCCGGGTCCCCTCTGCCCGGGTCCTCGGTCTCTCCCGCAGTCTGTCTGCCCCTGCCCGCCGGTCTCCGTTTGTTCATTAGTGTTTATCTGCTATTCGTCTCCGTCCGTGCGTTGGTCCGACTGTCTTTGTCCGTCGGTGGCTTCTCCATCTGTCATTGTCTACACAGTTCGGAGTCGGTCCGCCTGTCCGTCCGCCTGCCCGATGCGCCCTTGTCTCTGAGCATTCAGTCTGGCTCAGGCCAACTCCTGGCCCTTCTCCAAGGCGTCCAGACCCTCCCCGCTGGGCCCCAGAGCGGGACGGGGAGCGGGCAGGAAGCCCCTGTCTGCCTTCCCCAAATCCCGGCTGAGTCTGCGAGGGCTGCCTCCCCGGACCCAACTCTGGGCGAGAAGACCCAAGAACTGAGGGAGGTTAGGGGGTGTGTTTGGGGAGGAGGGGGGGAGAGGAGAGGAGGAGGACCTGGTCGCCTGGGCTCAGGGACCTGGGGGCCAGCCCGCCTCATTTTTGGGGCTGCAGCCAGCAAAGGGGAGGAGCTTCAGCCAGACCCCAGCCGAGAGGCCCCTGCTCTTTCCCCTTCTCCCAGCTCCCTCCTCTTTTCCTGTTCCCCTCATTAAATCCGAGGTTCATTCAGGCGTTCCCCTCCCCCTCTGCCCGACACAAAGAGGAACAGAGAGGAATAGGGGGGTCGAGGGGGTCTGGTGGCTGCTGAATCTCAGGACTCGCTTTCCTTTGTCCCTGGTGTGTGTGTGTGTGTGTGTGTGTGTGTGTGTGTGTGTTCGTGCGTGCATGTGTGTGTGTTAAGATGGGGGTGTAGGGGCAGGAGCTGGAGGATGTAGAGATTTACTTTATGGCATTTTTTTTTTTTTTTTTTTTAAGAATGATAGCTGTAGAGTGGGCCCCTGGACAGACTCTTGTCCTCTCTGGGCCTCCGTTTCCCCATCTGTGAAGTGCGTGCCTGTGCACACACAGGAGGAGGAATCCAGAGCTGGTCCCTGACATCCCTCCCCTCTGATGAAATCAAGGTTTGGGCTGGGTCTCTGGCCAGGAAGAGTTTGCTTCCTGATGGGGGAAGGAGAGTTTCCTAGGCGCTGACTAGGTTTCCATCTGGCTGGGGGTAGGGGATGTGGAGGGGAGACCTGCCAGTCTCCTGTGCCTTTCTCTCCAATGGGCCAGGCCGTGGGGAAGATTAAAACATGCCCCGCCCAATCCTGGCATTTCGTGCGAGCTCAGAATGGGAGCTCCTGTTACTATCTTCTGGGAAAGGTGGGTGGAGATTTCCTCTGGAGCCGAGTGCTGGTCCTGAGTCATGGAATTGTACTGCTGAGACCAGAGGCACCTGACAGGCTCCTCCAGAGGAAACACGCACAGAGGGCCCGCTGACTTGCCTGAGGTTGCGCAGTGAAAGGATGGGGAGGATTAAAGTCTGACTTGTCATCCAGACTTCTCCTGTCCTAGCTGCCTGAGGGACAGGGCTGCCAGGCAGAACAGAGTTTCACTTAGTGAGCATCACATATCTGCAAGCAGCCTCCTTTCTGTGACTCCTACGGGGGGGGGGGGGGAGTTCTGACCTCTGACATTGGCTGCACACCTACTGCGTGCCAGGCACTGTGCTGAGCTCCTCGCTCAGGCCACTTCATTGGTTCCCCCTCAGCCCTGTGACATACCGTGTTTCCCTGAAAATAAGACATCCTCCGAAAATAAGACCTAGCTCATGCAAAGATAAGACATCCCCTGAAAATAAGACCTAGTGCAACTTTGGGAGAAAAAATTAATATAGGACACTGTCTTATTTTTTGGGGAAACAGGGTAGTTATCCTGTTTTACAAATAAAGATGTCAACAGCAGCTACCATTACCACATCTGATCCTAGGCCCAGCACTCACTGCCCAGAGCTGTCCGGTGGTGGCACTGTAGTGAGCACTTGATTTATTTTTAAAAAATAAATTTTATTGATTTTTTTTACAGAGCTGAAGAAAGAGGGCTAGAGAGTTAGAAACATTGATACATTGATGAGAGAGAATCATCGATCAGCTGCCTCTTGCACACCTCCTACTGGGATGTGCCCACAACCAAGGTACACGCCCTGGGACCTTTCAGTCCGCAGGCCGACACTCTATCCACTGAGCCAAACCAGTTTCAGCAGAGCATTTGATATATATCCTTTCGTTTTTTCATTTTTTCCGTCTTTTATTGATTTTAGAAAGAAGGAAGGAGAGAGAGAAACATTCAGTGTCAGGATAGGTTGCCTCCCCTACCTGCCCTGTCCAGGATCAAATCTGCAACCTAGCTATGTGCCCTGATGGGAATGGAGCCGGTACCCTTGTGGTGTGTGGGATGACCCTCCAACCAATGGAGCCCCACCAGCCAGGGCTGGTACGCGTCCTTCCATGTAAAGCTCACAGTGATCCCTGAGGCAGTTCATATCGTTCCCACTTCACAGATGGGGAAACTGGGTCAGAGAGGGAAGATGAATCCAGTAATACTGTGTGGCAGAACAGACACAGCGTAAACTTTACTATTTTAATACTTTTTGTCTTCAGCGAGCTGGTAATTTGCCTTAAGAATCAGGATAACCCTAACTGGCTTGGCTCAGTGGATAGAGCATCGGCCTGCAGATGGATATAAGGAATAAATATTGGCTGAAGAACACAATGAGAATTCTAGAATCTGCCTTTTCCTGGGTATCAATACTGATACCCAGGAAAAGGCAGCCAATATTTATTCCTTTTCACGATACCACCCATTGATCGACATCATTAGAGTTGTATTTGTGAGATATCCATTTTAATATCTACCCCGATTCTTTTTCCCCCCTCTTTTTTTCTAAAATATATTTTATTGATTTTTTTTTACAGAGAGGATGGGAGAGGGGTAGAGAGTTAGAAACATTGATGAGAGAGAATCATCGATCAGCTGCCTCTTGCACATCCCCTAACTGGGGATGTGGCTGCAACCAAGGTACATGCCCTTGACCGGAATCGAACCGGGGACCCTTCAGTCTGCAGGCCGATGCTCTATCCACTGAGCCAAGCCAGTTAGGGTTATCCTGATTCTTAAGGCAAATTACCAGCTCGCTGAAGACAAAAAGTATTAAAATAGTAAAGTTTACGCTGTGTCTGTTCTGCCATACAGTATTACTGTGCAGTTGGTTACCACTGGAACCAGTAACAACCTGTTTCAATGGAGATTTGCCCCATCGGAGTGGCCGCGGGGGGTTTTCAGGCATCCTTAGCGGGTTGGTGGGGAAGACTTCTCTATCCTTCCATCGTGAGGTGAGGCATTTGCAGCTGCCCATCATGGTTCTTTCTCGCTGGAGCTGGTCCTGGCCTGCAGGAGTGAGATGGGCCCACAGAAGGTGGGAATCACCAGGCAAGCCAGCGCACGATGGATGGATGGTGAGCAAATATGTGTTTAGGGAGCGCCTTCTCTGTGCGAGGGCGTGTGAAAGGCCTTGGGGTCAGACTGGTTGGACTGAGATCCTGGCTTGGCCTCTTCTCAGCTACTGGACCGTGGGCAGTCACTTCCTCTCTCCCCTTGTCTGTGAAGTGGGAGGTCAATGGTACCTGCCTCTCAGCACTTTGTGAGTATTACATGCGGCTGAGATAAACAGGCAACGTCTTTAGCATGAAGCTCGCTTGTTGTAGCGGCCACTCTGTAAACACCCCAGGATGGTAACTTGCTTTAGACCACATTCAAGGAAGTGGTGAGGCGGGTAGAACCCGGGGCTGCCTGACCATAGGGCCTGGGCTCTGAGCCTCTTGCCCATCCTGCCCAGGAGCCCATTTTATGAATGAAGAACTGAGTCCCATGGAGGGGGAAAGAGACTGGTCTAAGGTCATGCTGCAAGTTGGTGGCAGAGCTCTCTATTCTCAGCACTTGTGGGGGGAGGGGGGTTCAGGAGGGGGATGAGAAGGGTGGGGAGGGGAGTAATTGTACTTGAGTAGCTTGGGGCTGACCTCTTCTCCCTATGTTCTGTCTAGTTCTAGGCTGGCTCATTCACATCTCTAAAGTTTATTTAATTATGATAAAATTAAGATAATGTAAATTTTACTATTTAATAGTGTTTTAGTCTTCAGGGAGCTTGTCATTTATTTTAAGAAACATGGTAAGGCCCTAATGGTTTGGCTCAGTAGATAGAGTGTCGGCCTGCAGATTCAAGGGTCCCAGGTTCTTCTACGCAGGTCAAGGGCATGTACCTTGGTTGTGGGCACATCCCCAGTAGGAGGTGTGTAGGAGGGAGCTGATGTTTCTCTCTCACCTATGTTTCTAACTCTCTCTCTCCCTTCCTCTTTAAAAAAATCAATAAAATATATATACAATATATTTTAAAAAGAAACACGGCATTAAAATGGGCATTTGCTAAATACAACCCTGACGAATCAGTGAGTGGTACTGTCAGGAGTAAATATTATTGGCTAACGCACACAAGGAATTCCAGAATCTGACTTTTCCTTGGTCTCAGTTCTCTGCATTATTGTTCCCTGACTCTCCCTGTCTGTTCCCAGAGACACTGCACTCCACTCCCTTGATCTGCCTTCCATTCTGGG